ATTACTGTAAATAAGCTGTTAAAAATGGAAATTGCTTGTAGACAAATTAAAAACATATTTTTACAAACATTACAAATAATTTAAATGCTTTTCTTGTTTTTCTCTATAACACGTACTTACATAGTTCGTAACAATAACTTTATCTGTTTTTCTTAAACTCATTTACGTTTAACATGCATTTAAATGCAAATCGATCAATTGCTTAATGTGAACTGTTTTTCCTGTAAACAACATCTAATTTGTTCCNATTACTGTAAATAAGCTGTTAAAAATGGAAATTGCTTGTAGACAAATTAAAAACATATTTTTACAAACATTACAAATAATTTAAATGCTTTTCTTGTTTTTCTCTATAACACGTACTTACATAGTTCGTAACAATAACTTTATCTGTTTTTCTTAAACTCATTTACGTTTAACATGCATTTAAATGCAAATCGATCAATTGCTTAATGTGAACTGTTTTTCCTGTAAACAACATCTAATTTGTTCCTACATAAATAATCACAATTATTTAATTAAATACTTATTACTTAATCTGCGGATTTTTTGCAAAATAAAATTTGTCTGCATTAATTGCAAGATACTGGTGCTGCAGAAACATTTATTATTGTTTTTAATCATTTCAAAGAGATCAAAATAACAACAGTATATTTTAATTGCTTAAATATTTTTACTGCTTTGCATTTGACCTACACATTTTTGCCATAAATGCAGAAAATCCACAGTCTACAGATTACTCTAAACCACCCTCTTCTTCTAATTTCGAGAGGAACTTGGGGACTCTATAGCTTGGTTCTACTTGACGTGCCATATCTATTAAACCCAGCAACTTCTTTATACCAATAAATATCCTGTAACAAAGTGTGCAACGTTTGAATTATCATATTCACAGATATATACAAAATCTTTTTAATACATAATTGCAAATATACCGTTTTCCTTGAAGTTTAGCATGCAGAGATCCCAATTCCTGTTTAGTGAAAAGGTCTACCTCCTCTAGAACACTCAAAAGATGGTCGGAAGTCGACAAGTTGGGTACATGTAAAAGTGTACTAAATGCTGATAACATTTCCATGTCATCCAATACTTGTCTGAAAGTACGTTGATCATGAATATTACGTTAAAATTTAAATTATGAAGTAGGATCGATACATTACCTGCGGCTCGTTGTGCACAGAACTAGTAATTTACGACCACGTGGTGGCTGTTTTTTCAATAAAACTAGGAGCGCTTGTAAAGTTAAATTCGAATATCGAGGCCCGATAGGTCCATAATCTAACAAGCGTTCGATATTATCGACTAGAATACAGCTAAGCTGTGAGCGATATGCATCGTCGAATATCTAAAACGATAAATGTAAAGTCATTTTTCTATGCTTTTTACTGTCCCAGTAATTTAATTAAAATGACTAAAATAATGCATTACCTTCCGAATTGAAAGACATTTTGCAGATTCGGTAAAACCAACCATATCCTCCGGCGTGCATACTTTGACAAATGGAAAATCGGAATTTTTTGCAATTTTAGCAGCAAGAGCTGTTTTTCCGCTATTAGGTGGTCCCTCCAAAAGAACTGATACAAGACCGGAGCCCTCAGTAGATCGAGCTTCTTGAATGTAAAGATTACCATCAGACAAGATTTCTGCCACTGGTTTACCCCAATTAATGATTCCGCGAATAAGAAGATGTTCCAAAGCTTCTGCACTGGTACCAAACGCCTAAAAGCAGAAAATGCATAACATGTTTCTGAAGCTGTAATTATTGTAATTTTGTTAATAAACTCTCTTTCGAAATTGCTTACAGGTTTAACATCATTCTCTAAAGCATGAATGAAATCAGTTCTGGAAACCATAAGTTTCTCCATCGCTGCAGGGTCGACTTCTACTTTGCTAGAGGCTTTGATCAATCTATTCATAGCAGTACTCTGAGCAGCCCTAACTAAACCTTCTAATTCTGCGCCACTGAAGTTTTTAGTCAATGTAGCTAATTCCTTCAGGTCAACATCGGGTGCTATTTTTTTATAATCTCTCATTCTGGATGTATGGATATTAAGAATTTGGAATCGCCCATGCTCATCTGGTAAACTAATCTCCATTTGTACCTTGGGATAAATAAAAATATTATTAAAATGATTTTTTTCTGATAGATAGTTATGTATAAGTAATGACTATTGAAACATACTTCTAATCTACCAGGTCGCATTAAAGCGTCATCAATCATGTCTTTTCTGTTGGTCATACCAATAACGAGGATATTATTCAATTGTTCTACACCATCAATCTTTGCAAGTAACTGATTCACAACAGTATCATGTACCCCTGTATTACCAGCAACACTGCCTCTAGACTTACAAATAGCATCTATTTCATCGAAAATTATTATATGCAATCCACTGTTTGGTCCAAGCTGAAAATTATATTTCATTTTTTATCTTACAGACAGTTGTATTTTAGTGAAGACTATTATAAAACTTGAAAACATATTCATACTCTCTTTTCCTCCTCCTCAGCATCGGCAAACAATCTTCTAATATTAGCTTCACTTTCTCCAACATATTTATCCAATATTTGAGGGCCATTGACGATTTTAGGTTCTCTGGCGTTTAACATGGTCCCTATCTGTCGTGCCATTAACGTTTTACCTGTACCCGGTGGACCATAAAGTAAAATTCCTTTCACATGTTTGCAACCTAATTGAGTAACAATTTCCGGTGGAAAAACGCGAGATGCGAACGCTCTTCGAAATATTGCACTAAATTCTTTATCTAGACCACCAATACCCATCTTTTGAAAGTCCCAGTCTGGATTTATAATTGATTGGCGAACAACTTTCCCTTTTGCTTTACCAACAAGGTTTAAGCTTGAATTGTCTGCCTTTTCAAATTGTATCACACTGTCACCTAGACAACGTCCCATTTGAGTCTTCTTAGGTGCAGTGTTTTGTCCAGAGCTTATAGCAGAAAGGTCAGCAGCTTCCAAACTTTTGACTACAAGACCAAGCATTTTCTTGTCCTTGAACTGAAACACCAGCTGCTGACCCACGGTGAATGCCTGTCCCGAAAATTGCAATAGGAAATCTCTGGCCATTTCATCGGTATTATAAGGTTCCAATGTCGTTCTAAAATAAATAAATATTGTTTCTTACCATGTTAACTAAAATACGTAACTAAATAAATATTTATAATATGTACATACGATTTCTTTTGTAAGAAATCAGCTTCCAATACAATATTGCACAGACATTCTGTACTTGAGGTAGGATTAAAGTGATAAGGTCGTACTTCAATTTCCTGATTGAGGGAAAGGGTTGCCCACTTTCTTTGAGGTAAACTAAAGCCCACTGTTCCTCTGGGTACTTCATGATGTCTTTTTACAGTGAATACAAAATGATAATTTGGTGCAGTGGTAACTTCAATGTGCCTAAAACATACGTTTAGATGAATATCAAGAGTGATTACAAAGTTGCAATAATGACTTTATTTTTAAATTATACATATATACATATAGATACAAAATACATTGACATAAATTGTAGAATTTTCCATGATTTTAGGTAGTAATTAATAACGAAATTGTTTTATTTATATATAAAATTTTTCATTCTTATATATGTATATTAAAAATGTTTAAGTAAATTATTTGAACTAAAATCACAGAAGATTCATATCAGTAAGATTTTTGTGACCTAAAATTATTTTGAAGTATTTGGTCTATCAAAATATATAATCTTTTCTTCTATAAAAATGTAGATAATTTGTGTCAAGTATAATGTAATACTCTACAAAGAGCATGTAATTTAATACATGTGATTTAATAAATCATTGTTTAAATGTGAAATAATTATGATTGACATAATATTATATGTATACCTATAGATATGTGATAAGTATTACCACACAAAAATAGTAATTGACATCATAATTTAATTGAAAGCTTTTATGTCTATGTCACGTCTAATCTTAAGATCCTATTACACATGGATATCAAATCAATGAATAAATCAGAAGATGAATCTATACCTGATTTCATCTGGATAATCATCCGGATTAATTATAGCACAGTTAGTGATACTGAGTTCATCAGTAGGACACCTGACTGCTTTCATTCTCTGAAAAAAATTGATTTTGTTGTTTAAACACTTAATGGCTTTCATACAAGCATGCAATATCCATAGTCAAAAGTATTGATGAGACTTGAAGTAAGGAGGGGTGGTTACAGGATTAGTTGTGTGAATAAATGTTTCTTAGTTAGGTCTAATTTATGCTTATTGCTTTATCTTAGTGCAACAAACAATAAAATGAGATTAACAGTCACTTTTACATTTCAGACTTACCATTGCTGACATTTTTTTGACAGAATTTTCTGAACACAGGCCCCTACACAGTATGGAACCTGCAATGCAGAATATTAGGACAATCAATGTGACCAATACAACAGGAGTTTAATTCTGGGACGTCGTTGGACTAGAGACTTTGTTCACAATTGGTAGAAGTTTGTTCTCTCAATTTTCTATTTCTTTCTCGTCGCTGTTATTATCTAATATTAATATTTTATATTATGTATGTAAAATACGGCAGAAACATTGCCTTATTCAAATTTATATCATGATTTTATAAGTATTTGTGTTCAAATGTATCAGTTGCTTGTGTTGTAATACATATAAACCTAAAAAACAAAACCTACAATTTCATTAAAATTATTGTATTTTACAAATCAAGACTTATTACATGATTTTACACACTTGGATGCATTGTTACTTTTTAATCAAACACTATAAAAATTTTCTTAACAAATTTTCCTCACGTAATTTTTGAACATTCAAGATCGATTTACATTACAATAGTGAAAATCGGCCTTATTCCTATTACATCGTGCATACAGTGTATGCCTTTCAGAAAGAATGAAACAGAATGAGATACTATACCAAACATTTTCTCACAGATGATTGTGAAATAAGAATGTAAACAAAAACACGTACTGTAGTTATTAGAGGAAAAAATCGAAAAAGGCCTCAAAAAGAAACCATCTGTTTCGTTAACTTAATGTGAAATCAAATGGCTGCAGAAAAAAATATTCATAGTTTGCAATTTAATCAAGATCAAGGTGACTATTAGTTACAGTTTTAATTACTACGAATTAACTATTACGACGTACATATCCTTACTATCCTAAGATGTAATGCTCGTTTTCATATTATTTTGCTATTGTGATAAGACCAAAATCAATGAAACAATAAATTCACAATAATTAATTTTGTTTCATATACTTTAGAAGAAACTAAAACAAAATTATAGATCACGTAGTTCTAATGCATCATAATGAGAAATCTTCTTTGTTTCTAGTTGTCATATTAATTATTGTGAATCACGTACATTTTTTTGACTATTGAAATTATTGTAATATTTATATTAATATAAATGTGAACTTATATATATCCTAAATTAACTGTTGAAGAAATATTTTTTCTGCATTAGGTTGTTTTACATGTTGTATGGAATCTGGTCTTAGAGTATACAATGTAGAACCATTAGTTGAGAAAGCACATTTGGGAAATGATATTATGGGAAGTATAGCCATCGCAGAGATGTTGTGGAGAACGAACATCATTGCTATAGTGGCAGGTGGCACAAGACCAAAGTTTGCAGAGAACACAGTACTCATTTATGATGATCTGTCTAAAAAATTTGTAATGGAAGTTACATTCACTAGCCCTATTAAAGCTGTTAGATTACGCAGAGACAAGTAAGTTTGTTCATAAAACAAAATCTTCATTTTAGTCTATATAAATGATGCATTTACTCACTTAGGAATAATTTTAAAAAACAGAATGGTAGTGGCACTTCAACATGAGATACATGTTTTTTCATTTCCTATGCCCACAAGAAGATTATTAACATTAGAGACAAGAGACAATCCAATGGGATTGATCGAAGTTGCTACATTGGCTACTGCACAAAAGCAGCTTCTTGCTTTCCCTGGTCATAAGCAAGGCAGTGTACAGATGATTGATCTTGGAGGTACAGAAGCTGGTACATCCAGTGCTCCTGCAACTCTTGCAGCACATCAAGTATGTATATTTCACATAGATAAAGTTGAATAAAATTGGAATTACTATGTCTTCTTTTAGTATCTTATATTTACAAATAATACTATTAGGGTGCATTGGCTTGTCTCGCAGTTAATAGCAGTGGAACAATGATTGCAACTGCTTCTACACAGGGTACATTAGTTAGAGTATGGGATAGTATACGTAAACATTTACTAGTGGAATTGAGGAGAGGTGCTGATTCTGCAACACTTTACTGGTAAATGTTACATGTATTTTCTGAAAAATAAAAATATATTTTATGCAAATATTATATTTAATTTGTCAAACATAAATATTCAATATATGTTACAGTATCACATTTAGCAGAGACTCTGAGTTTCTATGTGCTTCCAGTGACAAAGGAACTGTGCATATATTTGCATTAAAAGACACTCAGTTAAATCGCAGATCCACGTATGTAACCCGAGTTCAAATTCAAAGTCATTATAAAGATCAAGCTCACAAAATTAATGAATAATTTTGTTATAGTTTCTCAAACATGGGATTTTTAGGGAATTATGTTGAAAGTCAATGGGCATTGGCTACTTTCACAGTACCACCAGAATGTGCTTGTGTATGTGCATTTGGTACAAAGAGTTCTGTTATAGGTACTGCAAACAAGCAACTCAACTATTAAATTAATATAGAACTATAGAATTTAAATATATTAAATCAAATTATTATTTATTATATGTACATATTTTACATTAAATTACAGCTATTTGTATGGATGGGACATTTCATAAGTATGTTTTCACTGCTGATGGAAACTGCAATCGTGAAGCATTTGATGTCTTCCTAGATGTTTGTGATCATGATGACTTTTAACATGAACTGTATATTATGTTCATAAAATTCTATGCTTGTAGGAAAGTTTCTAGTCATAAGTAAGAAACTTCTTGCAGCAAATATCTGTACAGTAATGTAATTACATTAATTATTGTAAAAAGAGAGTGTGAGTCATTACATTTATTGATTTTTATACCATAATATTCTAAGTGTTCTTTAGTCTGTTTTATATGCACAAATTTTTAGTGATATACATTCTTTTCGAAACTAGTGGTCCAATTATAGCATACTGTAATAAAAGATAGTTTTATACAATAGGTATTTTTCTTCACCTACCTTGTTGTACATTTGTTTAACAGCATTACTGACAGTATCAATTCCACTAATAAAAGTTTGCTTCATCATAATTAAATCTTCCTATCTGGATATTGTTCTTCTATTTGTCGCCGTATGTTTTCTAAGTAAGAACATATACTTTGGCTTGTACATTCATTAAAATAACTTAACTATTTAAATATTAGTTAAGAAAATTATGATAAGTTCGAAAAAATCATACATACTATAATATTCTGGATGAAGCGCAGGGTAAATCATATTAACATAACAGTGTGTTCCAATAAGTCCCACAAATATTCCAATAAATACAGCATATCGTCGATTTGTCAATCGCATAACTACAAAGATTTAATGGTTTAATATATTTATATTCATACAAAAATAATGAATTTGTAATTTGTTTCGAGGTTATGTAGAATTATGTTATTGATCTTTTTATTTTTCAAGGGAAACAATATACAATTGTATATATTATAGCACTATACATAAATTATATATAATTCAAGATTTTCGTGGTAAATTAATTAATTTATTTACGTTATGCTTATTTCCAAGACTTACTTGCTTCGTAAACTTTCAGACTATAGTTTCTTAATATATCGCTAGATGGCTGCACAAGTACATTTTCTCGCTAGTACTCACTGTACCTTTCGTTAGTATATAAGCAACTCACGAAGAACGTTCAGACGTACTTGCTTCGGCAGTACATATACTAAAATTGGAACGATACAGAGAAGATTAGCATGGCCCCTGCGCAAGGATGACACGCAAAATCGTGAAGCGTTCCACATTTTTTGCTATTTCTTTTGGAAATTGTAAAAAGGAAAAGAAAATTGTATTACTTGGAAACAACTGTTAACAAATTTAAGATGTAATTTTAAAAAATTTCAAAGTATATAATCAATTTAATAAAGTGTGTTCATATTTAAAGAAAGTATTTTTTAAATGTTATGTTTTTGTACTTAGATAAAATTGTAGTAAATGCGTAATTACTTAAATAGTAAATATATATGAAATATCTTAATAATATTTATTAATGCCAGGGAGAATACTCTCTGTCAATACTTAACGTAATTTAGTTCCATTGAAAACAAGGTTGGTTCTTGTAGTGATGGCATACAATGTATGACGTTTTCAAATTGAATTGTTAACAAATTCTCTTAAAGCAGCGCATTTTTCTTATTGAGAACGAAAAGAATGAAAAATAAAATGAATACATNAATTTAAGGAAATAACAATTAAATAACGCAGAATTTTAAAAGACGAGATAATCTCCATTTCATTCAATGATTCTCCGTCATTTCGCGATAACTGAGACGTTCCTTTTTCGTAAGAACTTTATTTTACTCGCGGTTTGTTCGCAAAAGTTATTGAGACGACTCTGTATAAATGTGAAAAACATGAAATATTTCAGATGTCTCAATATTTCTAGCCTCGACTTTGAATAGTTGTAAAAATAAATAGCGCAAGGAATTGAAACGGATGCCGCTAGAACGTAGAACTATTAATGATATTATATACGCCGCCAGATGGCGGAAAAAATCATTTTCCCGCTAGTGCTCACTTAACGATTTCAAAGTATATAAGCACCTCGCGAAGATGATCAGATGTACTTGCTTCGGCAGTACATATACTAAAATTGGAACGATACAGAGAAGATTAGCATGGCCCCTGCGCAAGGATGACACGCAAAATCGTGAAGCGTTCCACATTTTTTGCTATTTCTTTTGGAAATTGTAAAAAGGAAAAGAAAATTGTATTACTTGGAAACAACTGTTAACAAATTTAAGATGTAATTTTAAAAAATTTCAAAGTATATAATCAATTTAATAAAGTGTGTTCATATTTAAAGAAAGTATTTTTTAAATGTTATGTTTTTGTACTTAGATAAAATTGTAGTAAATGCGTAATTACTTAAATAGTAAATATATATGAAATATCTTAATAATATTTATTAATGCCAGGGAGAATACTCTCTGTCAATACTTAACGTAATTTAGTTCCATTGAAAACAAGGTTGGTTCTTGTAGTGATGGCATACAATGTATGACGTTTTCAAATTGAATTGTTAACAAATTCTCTTAAAGCAGCGCATTTTTCTTATTGAGAACGAAAAGAATGAAAAATAAAATGAATACATACTAGGCGAATCGTGGTCGGTTATAGTAGTACAATTTAACAGTAAACAATAAATTGTCCTCATATGTATTGTATTTCTGGTCGCGTGTTGTGGTTTGCGTTTTCAGTAATAAAACGCGTGATTAATATATCTTTTAAAAAGACTTTTATTTTAAAAAATAATATATACAGCTGACGTTACTAAATAAAAGAAGAGCTCATATGACATGCTTCTTTGGATACCGGTTATGCACATTCCATATAACAAATACACGAATGATTTGTAATTTGTTAAAAAAATGTCGAAACAATGGATATCAAATTTTGTATTAGCTGCTACTATTAGATATTTATTGATGAACTCTGGATACCAAAAAGTTATCAGTGATCGTGTGGAAGTATCAACAGCGTTAAATTCTTGGAAAAGAGGTTAGAATAATTGTCACTTTCTTATTGAAAATTCATGTTCCGGTAATAAAAATTCTTACACATTCTTAAACTTTCTTACTTGTTTTGCCTACGTAATCAGGATGTTAACACTACATGGATATTTAAATAAAATATTATAATTAATTAGCTATAAAAGCAATTGCATCAGTATATATAAATTGTTTTTTTTTGTTTGTTTCAGTGACAGAAGGTGTCCATTTATATAATTTTGGTGTAGACCCTTATATAGGAGACTTATTTCATGAAACGCCCATTGGATTATACATTTTTGATCTTATTCAAAAATATTTACCTCAATGGACCTTATTCTTTTTGTTTATCTTCACTGATTTGCTGACTGCTTTACTTCTTGCACTTACAGCCAAGCAATATGCAAGTGAATTGGTCAGTTTAATTTCTTAATATTTGATATTATAATTTTACGATAGTACAACCAATTGTAATATTCAAATAATAATAATGTTTACAGGCCTCCAAAAATGAGAAAGAAAAGTTAATAGATGAAGATATAAAAGTTCAAGATGATAATTCTACAGTTTCTACTTCCACAATGTATGTCTCAGCAGCATATTTATTTAATCCATATATAATACTAAATTGTGTTGGACATACAACAACAGTATTCACAAATTTATTGTATTCCATAGCATTAATTTCAATGACAAAATGTTCTGTATTTTGGAGCTGTTTGTCAATTTCATTACTTACTTTACAAGGATTGTATCCTATTTCACTCATGGTACCAGCAACTATTTACATAGTTCATTCTAAGAATGCAATCCAAAAACAGAATACCATAATTTCTATGATTGTGTTATTTGTCAGTATGTTAACAATCTTATTCTGCATTTCTTATTATATTATGGGAAGTTGGTCGTTTATTTGGAGCACAACTGGCTTTATTTTAACAGTTCCCGATTTACGTCCTAATATAGGACTGTATTGGTACTTCTTTACAGAAATGTTTGAGCATTTTAGATGGCTCTTCATTGCTTCATTTCAAATAAATGTTGGTTTACTGTATATAGTACCATTAGCATTGAGATTACGACATGATCCAATGCTATTAGCATTTTCTTACTTAGCAATTGCTGCAATATTTAAATCCTATCCTTGCATTGGGGATGTTGGATTTTATATATCTCTATTGCCACTTTGGAAACATTTATTTCAGTGTAAGTATCAATTTGTAAGCTATATCAAGTCCTATTATTCGTTACAGTTAGAATATGATATTTACCTTTATTTTCAGATACCCAACAAGGATTCATTGTTGGTTGTTTCATGTTATTTTGTACAGTATTTGCACCCACTGTATGGTACCAGTGGATTTATTCCAGATCAGCGAATGCAAACTTTTACTTTGGTGTTACACTAGCATTTGCAATAGCACAAATCTTCTTATTAACAGATATTTTATTTGCAAGTGTAAAACATGAATTTGCAATACGTCATGGTATTAATAAGGATGTTAGCGGAAGTAAAACAAAACTACTTTTAGAATAAAGTTGTACTGTACAAGGTTCAATATTAAATCTGTTTTATTAATGCCCCAATATAGTTTACATGATATAGATATCCAGTTTTTACTGATTCTAAAAGTAGTTACAATTTATTTATATATCAAATTGATTAGTCATATATAAACTTTTTTACGCAACAATTTTTTTGTTATAACATATTGTTATCCATTCGTAGTTAAAAAATGATAGCTACCATATTTTTTTAGTATCTGCTACTATCTTGTCGTGAGAAGATAGTATATTACTTCATGATATAAAAATTAATTTATCAATGTGTTCTTAGATATAATTAACGCTTGCATCAAGGCTACTATACCGTTAATGCATAGTTTGCATTATTTTTATTACAATAATACCACAGTTTTTTCCAATGTAAATCTTTACAGAGAACATTG